TTCAAAGTAAAATCACTAAATTAATCATAATCAAAGTTCTGCACTATCTTGGCATTGCATTCATGCTTGCCCATGTTGAACAGCTAGTGAAAGCCAAAGCCCTTGATTAGTAAGGGTGAGTTATCCAGGCTACATCTTTGTATTATTAAGTTACTTTCTTTAACTATTTTTATAGCCTGTGAATATCAGATATACAACACAGGCCAGGAAAACAAAATATAGCTTTAATTACTACCTTTTTTTTTGTTTGTTTGCTTTTGAGACAGAGTTTCACTATGTCACTCTTGGTAGAGTGCCAGGGTATTACAGCTCACAGCAACCTCCAACTCCTGGGCTTAAGCGATTCTCTTGCCTCAGCCTCCCAGGTAGCTGGGACTTACAGGCACCTACTACAACACCTGGCTATTTTTTTGTTGCAGTTGTCATTGCTGTTTAGCATGCCCAAGCCAGGTTTGAACCCACCAGCCCCGGTGTATGTGGCTGGCACCCTAAACACTGAGCTATGGGCGCCGAGCCTATAATTACTACTTTTAAAGTTAAAAAACCTACCAATAAAACAAACATAATTACAAAGTCTGACAATTAAGTTTGCAAATTTGCCACTGTCCCCTTATGTTGGCAGCTGTACAAACAACTTGGTAAGGGTTCATAACCTCTGTATATCAGTGTCTTAATAGCTTTGTTCAAGTTCACATGTGGTGGTGTCTGGCTGAGTGGCCTTCACTATCATTGTTTTATGTTTTTGTCTGCCATTGTGAAATGTTGGAGCTTGAATTAGAGTAATGAACAAACATTAAATTTCTGGTTAAACTTGGCAAGAGTGGAAGTGAATTCAGGGACATGTTAGTCCAAGTTTATGCAAATAATGCCATGAAGAAAACAGCACTGTACAAGTAAATTGTTTTTCTTTTTCTTTCTTTTTGGAGACAAAAGCCTCAAGCTGTCCCCCTGGGTAGAGTGCTGTGGCATCACAGCTCACAGCAACCTCCAACTCCTGGGCTCAAGCGAGTTTCCTGCCTCTGCCTCCCAAGATGCTGGGACCACAGGCGACTGTCACAACGCCTGGCTATTTTTTGGTTGCAGCCATCATTGTTGTTTGGCGGGCCCAGGTTGGATTTGAACTGGTCACTTAGGTGTATGTGGCTGGCACCTTAGCCACTTGAGCCACAGGCACCGAGCCATTCTTTTTTTTTTTTTTTTTTGAGACAGAGTCTCACTTTGTCATCCTCCATAGAGTACAGTGAAGTCGTAGCTCACAGCAACTTCCAGCTCTTGGGCTCAAGTGATTCTCTTGCCTCAGCCTCACAAGTAGCTGGGACTACAGGTGCCCGCCACAACACCCGGCTATTTTTAGAGATGGGGGTCTTGCTCTTGTTCAAGCTGGTCTCAAACCTGTAAGCTCAGGGCAATCTACCCGCCTTGGCCTCCCAGAGTACTAGGATTACCGGTGTGAGCCACCATGCCCAGCCTTGGATTAAGTGTTTTTTTGAGGGAAGAGAAAGAGTCACTGATGAAAAGAGGTCAGTGCAGCCAGTAAAGAGCAGAACTGACAAAAACATTGCAAAAATTCGTTGAACTGTACATCAGAATCATCAGTTGACAGTGAGAAGTATAGCAGACCAAGTAAATGTCAATAGAAAAACAGGAAAATTTGTTTTTGTTTTGGAGGCAGAGTCTCAAGCTGTCACCCTGGGTAGAATATAGTGACATCATAGCTCATAGCAACCTCCAATTCTTGCCTCGGTTTTCCTATTTTTTATTTTGGTAGAGACAGAGTCTTGCTTTTGCTCAGTCTGGTCTCAAACTTGTGAGCTCAAGCAATCCACCTACCTCAGTCTCCCAGATAGGGAACAGGAAAATTTTAACTGATAATCTTAGCATGAGAGAGGTGGATGTAAAAATGGTCCCAAAGGAGCTCATGGATAAATAAAAACTAAGGAGAGTCAAAGTTTGTCAAGACCTCTTGGAGAGGCAGGACAATGTTTTGGCCATGTTGTCACTGGTGATAAAACATGGGTGTAGCTATGACCTGAAACAAAGCATTGAAGTGCAAAATGGAAGTCAGTCAATTCCAGACAAATTCTGTCAGTCCAAATCAAGAGTCCAAACAATATGGTTAACCTTTTTTAATATCAGAGGGATTATTCAGATTATTCATTATGAGTTTGTACTGACTGGACAGTTAACCAAGTTTACTATGTGGAAGTGCTGAAAAGACTACATGAAAAAGTCAGATAAAAATGACCTGAACTTTTCACCAATAACTCCTGGCTCTTGCATCATGGACAATGCAAGCAGCTCACAGGGCACTGTCTGTGATGGAGGTTTTACCCAGTAAACAAATAACTGTATTAGAGCACCCTCTCTACTTACCTCATCTGGCCCCCCAACAACTTTTTTCTTTACCCAAATACAAAGGAAATATTGAAAGGAAGATGTTTTGATGACATTTAGGAAATCAAGGGTAACACAATGACACTTTTGATGGCCATTCCAGAAAAAGAGTACCAAAACTGCTTGGCAGGGTAGACTAGGAACTGGCATCAATGTGTAGTTTCCCCAGGGGAGTACTTCAAAGACGATGGTAGCGATATTCAGCAATGAGATGTGTGGCACTTTTTCTAGAAGGAGCTCACCAACTTAACTGCAAGACTCAATGTTTTTGGGTGGTGCCTGTGACTCAGTGAGTAGGGCACTGGCACCATACACTGAGGGTGGCAGGTTCAAACCTAGCCCTGGCCAAACTGTAACAAAGGAATAGCCAGGCATTGTGGTAGGTGCCTGTGGTCTCAGTTGCTCAAAAGGCTAAGGCAAGAGAATCACCTAAGCCCAAGAGCTGGAGGTTGCTGTGAGCTGTGATGCCACAGCACTCTACTGAGGGCGACAAATTAAGACTCTATCTCAAAAAAAAAAAAAAAGACTCAGTATTTTATTAAGATTCGCTACACTGAACAATGTAAGATCTTTGAGTTTTATGAACATATTAGTTTTAGAACACATTATGCTTAAATACATTAACTAGATCTTTCAAAAAAACTTACATCCTAGAATAAAATCTGCTGACAAATTATCACCTGACTATAGAGTTAACAAACTTCCAACACCAATCTGTAGTACAACAATGACACAGAATTATACACATATTTTTTAAATTTTATATGAGGATCAAGAAAAAAACATTCTGACTAGTCTCAAAACATTTTCCAACTTGAGTGTAAACTTGAGTACATATAACACTTCCAAAGAGTAAGATTATTTTGAGATTCTTTTCGGATTTTTGGATAACCATTTCATTTATCTTCAAATAAATTACTATACAAAAATTAACAGCTTAGAGGTTTTCCACCTCCTAGGCAAAAACTTTGCTATGGCAACACAATGTACACATGACCAGCTAGCTTATAAAAAGGAGGACAAACCAAAAGTAGGCAGGACCCCCTAGGCGACATCTTAACCACTGGCCTTGGTCAAAGTGTTCAACATGGACTTGAGCTAATAAGGCAGGGAATGCCAGGAGCTTTGGTGGGGACTAGTTTGTTCATTTTCTCCCCTAACATGAGTGCAAGCTTTTTGTGTAACCGTTAAAGATTCAGGCAGGGAGATTAAGCCACCTGGTATATCCCTTGGTAAGAAACCCTTTGGAAGGGTTTCATGGTAGAAATAGCTAAAACACTTTACTTTAACTGTGTCAGAGTTCACATGCAAAGGCTGCCCCTCCTGCCAAGATTAACTATAATGGAGAATGCCATACAGCCCGAGAAAACCATGATCCCAATTACACTGACTACAGAACGTTCTTCTCTCCACAGCAAGACACACACAATGCAGCAACAACACAATCCCAATCCCCACCCCCTATCCCCACCAACAAAAATCCCAAGAAGAAAAAAAGAGAGAAGGCATTCAAGGAATCTATTACGAATTAATTTGTCAGCTTGGCACAGTGGTTACAATGCCAGCCACATGCACTAAGGCTGGCAGGTCCAAGCCCGGCCCGGGCCCACTAAACAATAACAACTGCAACAAAAAAAAATAGCCAGCATTGTGGAGGGTGCCTGTAGTCCCAGCTACATGGGAGGCTGAGGCAAAAGAATTGCTTAAGCCCAAGAGTTTGAGGTTGCTGTGAGCTGTGATGCCACAGCACTCTACCAAAGGCAACATAAGACTTGGTCTCAAAAAAAAGAATTAATTTGTCCTAAAAGAAACCCTAGGGTGGTGCCTGTGGCTCAAAGGAGTAGGGTGCCGACCCCATATGCTGGAAGTGGTGGGTTCAAACCCAGCCCCAGCCAAAAACTGAAAAAGAAAAAAAAAAAAATAAACCTTATCTGCCAGTAAATTCAGCATATCATTAATTCTGTATAATTTCTAATATATAAAATAAATTCATGAATAGGCATATTACCATTTACCTCTATTTAACAAGAATTATTTTACTAAATGGCTGTTTTCTGATATGCACATTACACATCTTTTAAAATCCACATAATACATGTTCAAACCATACCTGAATTAAGGATTAAAGATCAATGCCCTGACAATTTTTTTAATTTCCTAAAACGAAAACTCTAGAAGGCAAGTTTATAGATAACTGAAGTTTTCCTCGATTAAAAACAATAAGCCTATTTAGAAATAGATCCTGCTTTTGAATTTCTTGAGTATCCCTTCTTATCCAATGTCATCTGTACAGTTGATAAAACTCCACGATAATAAGTGGCTTTAAAGGAGCACATGTTCACTTTTCTAAAATTGCAATGAGCTAATTTAATATAAGTATCAAAGAAGTGAGCTCTCTGGCTTCCCGACACAGCCATTTTATAAATATACTCTCCAAAATGTATCTGTTGCATTGCTGAAACAGTCTAACTCAAAGGATAGCACTATTTAAACCAAACAATATCTACCTAACTAGGTATTTCCTAATAAAGTGAGTCAAGGGAGATGGAAAATGGAAAAGTCTGAATAAATACTGATCTTTCTAACTAGGAGAAAAAAGTCACAGCTTAGGGACATGATACCAAAGAAACATGTCGGGAGAGCCACAAGGTGTTTCCCCACCCTTAAAGGTCTAGTCAGCCTGACAGAAGTTAGAATATACTGTACCTCTGCCATTTCTGGTGATTTAATCTCCTTGATTTTGAAGAAATAGCCCAGGGTCAAGAAAGCTATTGCCATGGCACTCACACTGATCATAAAGACCACCAGGGGAGGCCGACTGCTGATGTACACCTTCAGGTTCTCCAGGGGGTTGATGTTAAACATTATTCTGAATAGCTTCACCTAAAAGAAATTAATCAGAAAACTGATTAATTGAGGACTGACTTACCAAAAGAAAACCGATGATTTTCGTTTTTGTTTCCTTTAGTAGGGTTGGTGGGTATCATTCTTTATTGAATTTGAGAAATGTCTGACCACAAATTCATTCAAAAGACTAGAAGGAAAAAAACACTAAATGTTAACTGTCATTACCTCAAAGTGGTAGGATCTTGAAAGATACATATTCTCTTTCAGTTTGAAACTTCTTTTTTGATGTGTGGTGTTACAATTTCAGTTCATGTTTTTTAAAATGTTCAGAAGAGACACAGAGAGAATACTTTTAAAAGCTCAAATTCAAATGTAAGTTAAATGAGAAATTAAAAGGCAACAAAATAACTCATAAGTATCAAGAAAAGAGCAACTTACACACAAATCATGTAGAAACAATTTTTTTATACTAGACTCATGTATTCTAGATGAGAAAGAAACAATGTTTTCAATAAACACAAACCTTTCACTGGGTAGAATACATAGGGTTCACCTAAACTCTTGAATGGATATAAACTATATCATCTTTATCAACAATAAACTATAACATCTTCCCTGCTACATATGACTAATCCTGAACAATGTCAGATGGTTGAGTCTTTAAAGCAACAAACATCTCAAATAAACAGAGGGTCATTTCTGCCTGAAAACCAGAGCCCCACATCCCACATGGCTATGAGGCCCCTTGGTCATAGCTGTAAATGGAAGCTAGAAAAGGGATCCTGCATTATCCTGCAGGCTAACTCTAAGGGAAGATGAGGGTCCTTTAACATCTCAACAGCCAGTAGGGGCAAGGAGGACTCCTTAGGCACCTCTAAGAGCTTCAAAAGCAACTTTCAGTTTTCTGCATTTTGTGAAATTCTTCCACATGGACCCTTAGGGACATTTGGGGAATAAAAAAACCTACATCCAGGCACTGCTGATTCCTGTGACACATCACTAAAATCTCTCCAACCCCAAGATAAATCTTTCATAAAGCAAAGCTGGGTCTACCCCTGAAGCCAATCACTTAAACCAACATTTAAAAATATTTTCTCAACATTCTCAGGCAGTCAAATCTTCTGAATATTGTATAATGAATATCGCTACTTCCATATTACTTAAGAAAGTATCTAAGCAGGTCAGTAAGGTGACATAAATACATGTTAATATGGACAGAAACAGAGAATGCTCTTATTTCCTCCCATTGAAAAGATGAAGTGCTTTTTTGTTTTTGTTTTTTTTTTAATTTAACATTCTGTCCTCTTCACTGCCTTATCACTCACTCATGGCTATTCCAGCACCTGGTCCAGAGTAGGTTCAATGAATACTGACTGAATGTTATCACTCCTCTGCCTGGAATACTCCTGAGGCTTCCCACCAAACCTAGGATGAGATTAGCAGCATCTCCTTATCATAGACCACGAGGTTTCATGACCCAGAGCCCTGTCAACCTCTCCAACTGCATTGCCATGAACTGTGCCTCCTCCCTCAGTGGGCTTTGGTCACAATGGCCTTGACAGTATATAGAATCAATTTGTCAATTTTTATAAGGATGTCAGCTAGGACTTTGTTAGAGATATAGTCAATCTGTGGGTCTGGGGAACACCACCACCTTAATAATGTTGTCTTCTAGCCTGTGTACTGGGGATGCCTTTCCATTTTAGGTTTTCTTTATTTTAACAATGTCCGCTACTGTCAAAGTTTGCACTTCTTTTACTAAGTATATTCCTACATGTTTTATTTTTGCAATTTTTGGACAAGACTTATCTGGAGGCTTTCATCTCTACTTGGGGATGCTTTTCCTAAACATTTTTGTATGCTTGCTCTTCCGAAAAGTCAGCTCCTCAGAACAGGCCTTCTCCGACCGCTCTCAGGCCTGTCTCTCATACCCACCTTTACTTCCTTCCCACTCTTTAGCATCAGTCAAGAGTATGATTACTTTTCTACTTATTATCTGCCATTCCCAATTCATCCATGAAAGTATAGTTTTGCCTTTCTTGTTTATGGCTATGGCTACGGCCCTGACCCCTGGCCCCAAGAACAGTAGCTGGTATACACTGAGCACTTATAAATACGAGCAGACTACAACATTAACAAAAAAATGTGTTAAAAGTCTGTACCAGACAAAAAGATGCATCAGTAGCCCCTAGGAATAAACTACCACCACCTGCAATAAGCCAGGCTGTGTAGGTTTGTCTTCACAAGAGCCCTTTAAAATGGAAAAGACCCAACATTCTGTTTCTGAGGTTTATCTGCTGATCTAAGTCAAAATAGTCTGCCAAACTAAACTGTGTATGTAATCGTTCCATTATCCCAGAGTTATCCCAGACTGAGGAGCCTAGCTCAGTTCTTCCCACTGTTTCATCCACAAAAGTCATCGCAACACGTACAAGAATGGCTTGTAGTACAAAGTCAAAGAGTAGGGCCTACCTTCAATTTGCCTTAATATTGTCACACCACTCTCCAAAGAGACTGTACCAGTTTATATTTCTGGCAGCAATGAAGGGGCTTGTTCCATTTCCCAATATTCATGCCAACACGTGATACTCTATTTCTTTTTTTTTAATTTTTTTTTAACATGTGATATTCTAAAGCATGCTGATTTGGGCCAAGAAGATAGATGTGAAATGGTTTTCTTTTTTTTTTTCCACCTGTCGGGGCCTGGGTTTCATTCTGGCAGCAATGAAGGGGCTTGTTCCATTTCCCAATATTCATGCCAACACGTGATACTCTATTTCTTTTTTTTAAATTTTTTTTTAACATGTGATATTCTACAGCATGCTGATTTGGGCCAAGAAGATAGATGTGAAATGGTTTTCTTTTTTTTTTCCACCTGTCAGGGCCTGGGTTTCACTCGCCGCACACGAGGCAGTGGGCGGTGAGCTGAGGCCCCTGCTGGCTCTGGGCGCCGCATCTCACTCCCGGCTACAGCCAAAGCTGAGGGTGATTTTCAACCAACGCCCCTGTGAAATGGTTTTCTACTATTACTTTAAACTGCATCTCCCTGAAACCAAGCAACTTTTCATTTTTTATTAACCATTTAGGTTATTCTGAAGTAAATTATCTAAATCCTGGCCATTTCCTAGTAGGATGTCATCGTACTTATTAATATTTAGGAATTCATAGCATCATAAGAATGGAGAAGAAGGCTCGGCGCCTATAGCTCAACCAGCTAAGGTGCCAGCCACGTACACCTAAGGTGGCGGGTTCGAATCCCCAGCCCAGACCCGCCAAACAACAATGACGGCGGCAACCAAAAAATAGCCAGGCGTTGTGGCAGGCACCTGTGGTCCCAGCTACTTGGGAGGCGGAGGCAGGAGACTCGCTTGAGCCCAGGAGTTGGAGGTTGCTGTGAGCTGTAATGCCACGGCACTCTACCCAGGGGGACAGCTTGAGGCTCTGTCTCAAAAAAAAAAAAAAATCAAGAATGGAGAAGAACCCAATGTACTTATTTCTAATATGAAGGCAATAGAGGATCAAATACAAGGTTGGAGAAGGGGAATGAGGCAGCTGGGAGAGGGAAGGGAGGAAGACGGGGGTCATGGTGTATGGCCCACCTCTTGGGGGCAGGACACAATTATAAGAGGGACTTCACCTAAACAGTGAAATCAGCATGACCTAAATCTTTGTATCCTCAATGAATCCCAAACAATAAAAAAAGAAAAAAGGGCCAGGCACTATCCCAGCATTCTGGGAGGCCAAGGCAGGTGGATGCTTTTTTAGAGAACTCACCTGTAAAAAAAACAGCTAGGCATTGTGGCGGGCGCCTGTAGTCCCAGCTACTGTGGAAGCTGAAGCTAGAGAATCACTTTAGTGTGCTCGCTTCGGCAGCACATACACTAAAATTGGAACGAGAATCACTTTAGCCTAGGAGTCTGAAGTCGCTAAGATGTGACGCCACGGCACTCTACTGCTGACCTGTTTACGCAACTATTTCATTCATTTCAGGCAACAAAATGAGACTCTGTCTCAAAAAAAAAAAAAAAAGAAAGAAAGAAAAAGAAAAAAAAATATTTAGGAATTCATTTTACATTATGGATACTGACCCTTTAGCAATTTTATATGTTACAGATAACAACTCCAAGTCTGTAGATTTTCTTTTTTTTTGTAGAGACAGAGTCTCACTTTATCGCCCTCAGTATAGTGCGGTGGCATCACAGCTCACAGCAACCTCCAACTCCTGGGCTTAGGTGATTCTCTTGCCTCAGCCTCCTGAGTAGCTGGGACTACAGACGCCTACCACAACACCCGGCTATTTTTTTTTTTTTTGCAGTTTTTGGCCAGGGTTGTTGTTTGGTGGGTCCAGGCTGGGGATTCGAACCCGCCACCTCAGGTGTATGGGGATTCAAACCCGCCACCTCAGGTGTATGGGGCTGGTGCCCTACTCCTTTAAGCCACAGGCACTGCCCCTGTAGATTTTCTTTAATAGGGTTTATGTTATCTTTTGTCATGTAAAAGGTTCTTGATACTTTTAACAGCTTTATTAAGATATGAGATATAATTCATATACCATACAATTCACTCAGTTAACACATATAGGTCAATGATTTTTAGTATATTCACACACCTGAGCAACAATCACTACAATTAATTTTTGAACATTCCATTATTCAATAAAGAATCCATACCCTTGAGTGTTAACTCATTTCCCTCAACCCTGAAGCAACCATTACTGTACTTCCCTATCTGTATAGATTTGCCCCTGCTGGGCATTTCAAGTAAATGAAACTATGTAACATGTGGTCTTTTGTGACTAAATTATTTCTTCTTTTGGAAGTGAGGGAAACAGTCTCATTTTGTCACCCTCGGTAGAGTGCTGTGACGTCTTAGCTCATAGCAACCTCAAACTATACAGTTCAAGGGATCCTCTTGCCTTAGCCTCCCAAGTAGTTGAGACTACAGGTGTACACCACAATGCCTGGCTATTTTTTAGAGACAGGGTCTTGCCCTTACTCAGGCTGGTCTCAAACTCGTGAATTTAGGCAATCCACCTG